CATGCCTTTCCGTTTATATAGTATACTGACACTGGGTGTGACCATATGTCTTGTAGCTGCTATTTTTTGCCTTGCAAGCCCCTGAAGGAGGGATACCCTTGCTAAACAATAAACAATGCTTTAAATAACAAAACAGGTTTAAAACACATCACATACTTTGATTACCCCAATCTCATAAAGGCAGAGAAAGAATGTGTTTTATGGAGGTATCGTGCTTTTTGGGGCATGATTCGAGCCCATCCTGCCAGAGTGAGGCACCTAATCGCCAGCACACAAACCCACTCAGCCACCAAGGCTTCCACAAAAATGAAAGTCCGAAAATTTGTCGTCTAGATCACGTACTTTGTGTACCCCACTGACAAGTGTAAATTGGCACGGCTACCATGGCCGTAAGCTATGAATACACAATGCTATTTTGAAATCAGACAAGTGTAACAAATGTTATATTTGGGACAATACTTCCTTAGTCAAGTACATATAAACCCAAACAATTACGAGAATCAGTACTTTACTGAAAAAGTGTTATCCCAAACATGACATTTGATACATTTGACCGACTACGAAATTAGAAATTAAAAAATCGTTGACAATATAACACTATATCGACTCTTAAAGATCTCACTTAATGAGCATGTTTCTATATGTTCTTTTAGCAACAGGGCAATAACGGATCAGACGTATCAGTGAGAATATGGGAATTATGAGAAGGCTGTTGTTTTTCTGAATTGTTCCCATTTTTCAAACCAAAAGTGTCAATGCATTTAAAAGCTGCATTCCTATCACAGTATCCACACAAGTTTTCATCAATCGGCTTCAAACATAATTCCCATTGGTCAGTTCGACACCTCAAATAATAAAATAATTAATTCGAGATTTCGTTAGAATGGGAGATATTCAGCCAGACGCTGTGCACTGAAAGACGAACCGGTCTTTTTCATTAAAATACGCGCACGGGCACCTGTATATCTCACACCGAGTGTCACTAAATTGCCCAATGTGATCAGTGGAATGTATATGAAAAGCAAAGATGCGACAGACAGGGTTCTTCCGCTCTGTGGCATCGTCTTTGTAAGTCATCATAAAAAATGTGACGAATTGAAATGAAACAAAGAGACAGAAAATGGGAAATGAGAAAAAAACCAACTGAACTGTAATGTGGTGGATGATAACGCCAATGAATGGAAATACGGTCGTACGAATTCGTACGATAAATTATAAATATATGATGAGAGATCGTTACAATAAGGTAACATCCAACCAAAAGGCACATTTGAAATAGTAATGTAATGATATAATATAAAATACATGTATATTTCACATGATACCATAACCTTTTCATGCATCCTATTCCGCATTCATTGCACAGTGTTTAATAGTGCGCACAGATGAGTAAAGACCCACTTTTTCAAGTCGCTCAAGTGTTGTTGTTGCTTTAAGTGTTCAAGAGGTCGCCTTGAGGCTGACCTGTCCTTCTGACCTGACCTTCTTTGGAACCCATGTGTGTGAGTAGGGTACACATATCTATTGTAAGTTTAGCCTCATACCGACGAAGTGTAGCTCCAAAATAAGGGAGGTAGTATGCCACAACTTGTGGTTTATATATATTGTAAACTGAATATATGTATTTGAATGTATCTGTATCGAAAATTGTGTGTGTCAGTGTGGGTTTGCGTGTGGGTGAATTAATCTCTGATTGGCATGGCACATTGTGTTGAGTGTTTAAACAATGTGTCTGGATTGGTATATACTTGTAATATTGCCATGTAAATAAACAGAAATCCATGATGATTGTTTTTCATGTCACCATGTGGTATACAATATTCCAATCAGATACGTGATCAGTTGTCAGAAAGTGTGTGTGTGAGTGTGTGAGTGTGTGTGAGTGTGTGTGTGTGTGTGTGTGTGTGAGTGTGAGTGTGTGTGTGTGTGTGTGTGTGTGTGTGTGTGTGTGTGTGTGTGTGTGTGTGTGTTTTCAACATGTTGTACAAAGCATTCGAAGAGGATATGTGACCGGTAGTCAAAAAGTATGTTTGGACCCTGGGGAAATTGTATTTATGTGGCTACTTATAAGTTGAATTCAAATAAAGTCAGCTGCCACGTTACACACATCAATATCAAATTGAGTTTTGAGCAAATGCAATTTTTTCACACAAATATTTTAGCGAAATATTTTAATAACGCCACAAATAAGAGTTAAAATGAGTGGAGTTATGTGTCATGATACGTGTAGAAACAACCTTTAAATACTGAACAACAAAAGTTCATGTGACATTGAATAAGATTTAATGCAAAGTTGTTTTTTTTTACCAAATCTGAAGCAATTTTGGTTTGCAACAGATAAAAGACTCCTGTTAGTGTTCAAATGGTTTAATTTGCCATACTGACTTCAGAAAATGCGCAATTTCATTAAAAAAAAAAATGAACATGCCAAAATGTCAATTTACAAATCAATAGCGTGTGTGTCCACCTCTGGTTGCGATGGAAGCAACACATCTTCGTCTACTGCAATGGACAAGGCGTCGCACAAAGTCCTGTGGGATATCTGTCCATATCTGATGGAGCATGTTTCGAAGTTCCTGGAGTGTCTGTGGAACACGCGGTTGACGTCGAAGGCGCCGATCCATCTTATGCCACATGTGCTCGATTGGTGAGAGATCAGGGGAGCGAGCCGGCCAGGGGATGACATTCACGTTGTTTTGTTGAAGAGAATCCTGAAAAAGTCGAGCAATATGAGGCCGGGCGTTATCAGGTTGAAAGGTAATGCCTGGTCCATGACGACGCAAAAACGGTAGAACAACAGGGCCGATGTTCTCGTCGCGGTAGCGCTGTCAATTGAGATTTCCCTCTACCACTATCAAACAGGTCCTCTGTCTTGCTGTAATCCCACCCCATACCATAACGCTGCCGCCCCCGAACCGATCTTCTTCCATGATACAATGACGTAACGCTCACCTCGACGTCGGTACACTCAAATCCGTCCATTGCTGTGGCTGAGGTGAAAACGAGACTCGTCAGTGAATAGAACTTCTCCAGCGTAGACGCTGTCTGCACCACTGTAGACGTGCTTGACGGTGGTTTCCTGTCACAATGGCGGGTTTTCTGGCGACAATGCCTGCACATCTGAGGCGACGACGTACGGTTTGTGAACACATTCGTCGAAGGCCAGGGATGCTTCTTGCAGTCACTGTTGCTGGCTAGAATCGATTTCGTAGGTGTGTTGTTCGAATCCAGCTGTCTTGTCGATTATTGGTTACGCGTGGCCTGCCACTCCGAGGATGGTCTCTGACTGCATTCGTCTGTTGCCAAAGTTGCCATAAACACCAAATGGTGTTTCTGTGGACGTTACACTGTCTTGCAACATCACGTTGACTCGATCCTGCTTCAAGCATATCAATGGCTCGCAGACGCTCATTTTCGGACAGGCGTGGCATTTCGTAATGTTGTTTAATTGCGTAATTTTGTTGTTTTTCTGAGTGGTTGTTGTCAGCACGATGCTAAACAATGCATATGGAATCCCGTTAACGCACATGTTTTTATACCCATTCTTGGGGAGTGAAATGCATGGGGTCTGCATTAAAGTCAACTTTTCCATGAAATGAATGCTTTGCTGTAGCAGTTGCGTATTTGTGACTTGATTCCATACATGTATAACAATATTGAAAACCACACTTTACTTGTTTGAAAAATACACTAAAAATATTGGTGTCACAGTAACTTTTATTGTTAAGTATACATTTGCAAAACATAAACATGAGTTGGGAGCAAATGAAAATATAATCCCCAAGGGGCGAAATATTTTAATAACGCCACAAATTAGTTCGATAAAGTTTAAATTAGTTGAATTATGTGTCACGATACTTGTAGAAACACCTTTATATATTTCCAAAACAAACCTGAGTTTTGAGAAACATATTCTTTTTCTTTTTTTCTTCCTTAGAATGTACCAATGAAAACAGCATGTTGAATTTGGTAAATACCTTTGACGGAGACTGGCCACAGCATGGAGAGTTTCTGGACAAATGGGTTTCAAGAATGAAATTGGAGGTGTTACATAAAACTACGAATGAATGAATGGGTTTGGTTGTTTGTCGGTTTGAAGATATTTCAGTTATATTATGGCATGTTATATTTGTTTGCGGGGAACCCACGTGAACGGGTGTGGTGCAGGCAAACCAAGGATCATAACCACGGCGAATCGTGGACTAAAACCCACGATAAGCGGATCCTGGGCTCATGCTGCAAATTGCAGCGATAACGATCACTACTAGGCCACCAGTATCCCCTTCAAAACTTAAAAAGAAATATAATTATGGAATCGTTTCAGACATTTAATTATTCACTTTGTGATTAGGAATGTGAGTAGGGTTGTGTGTCGACTATGTTGTCAAAATAACGTGTATCAGCAATGCAAATCTCCGCTAATGGTAGTCATCTTGCATTCAGTATACCGCGCGAACGTTTCAATCAACAAAACATGACGTATACATATGTTGTGAAACAGCCAATAAAACAAAGTCCAGTGCAGCAACAGATCTACCGTTCATGTTTAATTACATGATGCAATGCAATGCACAATATTCAAGTCACACAGAGCGCAATAGTTCGACCACGGCGTGACCAGAATTCTCGGGAACTTACCCTCGCATAAAGGTTAGTCTGACAGCAGACATACATCAACCGTAGTAACATTGCCGTCAGGATTACCAATCGTCAGCATTATGGTAACATAATGCTTGTTTGTTTAACACGGTGTTGTGACAACAATCCGCTACAACAGAGTCTTAATTGCAGTCATGGAAAACACTTTAAGTCATGGTGTATTTTCCTAGGTTTAAGCACATACATGTGTATGGAATATTTTTTATATATATTTGAAGTTGTACTGTGTTCTCTTTCAAAACATTCTAGTCACTTTGGAGTGACGAAGATCTGGGATGTGGTATGTGCAACAGGAGAAAGCTTAGCGCTGAGGGAGAATTTAAAAATTAAACGAGACTTACCTGTAAGGTGAAGTTTGATTTTATTTCTCCGAGGTAACAGGGAGCTGTTGAGATCACATGCCACACTCGTCCTCCCAGATGGCTTTCCCCACAGAACCAACCCTTTTATGGCTGGACCCGACTGCGCAGGCGCAGTCTAGTGTCACCGCACTCTGGGAATTACAATAAAGCTCACCTTACAGGTGGGTCAAGTTAGCCTTCAGCCTTTTCTTATGTGGCAAGTCATACAATACGCATTTTGTGAATAGAATGGTGTGAAACGTACACTTCGCAGATCAAGGGCGAGACAATCTGGTGGCTGGCATATGCTATGCTTACCTCGAGACTGACACCGTTGAACACGGACACGAGTACACTGTTTCACCTCGCTATTCTCTATCCGTCCACAGGTATACAGCAGGTATACTCCATTGACAACTGTGGTTACTGTTACGTGTTGATTCTCAAATTGAAACAATTATTTAACCCAGAAAATTGTATGTAAAGGGATTTAGTGTAAAACCGACAAATATTATACAATCGGCAATTGTATTACACAATTAAATAAGTTAACAACTCAATACACGTTGTCGTACAATATTCAATGGCAGATGTCAACGCGCGTGTTGACGGGGAATTGGCTCTTTGGGGAATCAAGGACAAAATCGACATCACTGTTCGGGAACGTTTTATGCACAACATGTAAACAATAAACAACAAATACACAATGAGCGGAATACCTGCTCTGACAACACAAACACAGCGATGAGCGGACCTTCCAGTTCAGGCATACAAGAGGTGAGCGGAGCTCCAGCTCAACCTCAGGACGTTTCCTACGAGCGGCACATCCTGCTCGAGGTCATCCCGACACCAGCACTCGGAATTCCAAGCTGACTAACAGTGTAATGTTAACACATATGTAGAAACAAACAACAATGGACAGACAGAGAGACAATGACGTTGCTCTGGACATGGGACATATGGGCGTGATGAACCGACACAGCTCAGTGGATGATCAATTAGGCAATAAATGTCATACTATAAATAACAGTAATTAACGGGAAGTGATATGGTAGCCCAGGTTGGCTGACAGTCAATAAATGACAATGAAATGTTGGTGAGGATTAACAACAGGGATTATCGCCTTTAAATAATGGCAATTAAGTTATGGAGACATACTCATGTCATGACTACAGGGTCTTTGGAATAAAATGTACTTCAGACAATGGTTGTCCCAAATCAGTCGCTATGACACACTCAGTATTAAATACAAAATATGATGGCACAGGTGATAGCAAAAAGTTCACTGATAATAATACTCAGCCAACCGCAACGGTGGTCTAGTTTCCAATATAGGCCTCGCCTGGGAATCCGTAGCTGGTATGGATGTTATGTCAGATGAAATGTGAGATGAGTTGTGAGGTGGCAGGCACGCGCCTGCTCCACTTCTACAGTCAAACGCGCTTCCGGCACTTTCCACACAGTTCTTGACCAGTCCAGTGTCACCTGAACACCACAGAATATTTTCTGAAACGCTATGCATTCATCCATGCTGAATTTTACAGATAATGCGAGCATCTAAATATAATAACTTCCTCAAAACTGCTTACATAATACGCGGACCCCGTGATCCCACGGCATTCATCGTATCGCGGCATTTGGGATTTCAGGAAGTTCACGTGGGACACGCATCCTAGCGGCTGTCTCTTAATGCATGTCATTAGCTTGGAAGTGCTTGCTTCGTAACAAATTTCAATTTCAAAACCAATAGCGTGTGTGTCCACCTCTGGTTGCGATGCAAGCAACACATCTTTGTCTAATGGAATGGACCAGGCGTCACTTGGAATAGTGAAGCAGTCTTGTGGTTGACGTGTAATACCAAAGACATGTTTGTTTCCCGACAAGGGTTCAATCTGTCGAGCTGACACCTCGTGTCGACGTCGATAGTCCGTTTAACGGTAACACAATCTACATTCACTGTCACACATGTTCAGATGTTTGTGCCAACGACACCAATGTCTAGTCGTGGGCGTGGAGAGGAAGACATTCCAGTTCTAAACGCACTTACAATAACGAGATGAGAGATGGCGATACAACGGACGTCATATGTTCTTGGAAAATAGATCAAGGTTCCCTTAGTAGTATTTGCAGTCTTTGGTTTATCTCAACTCGCTTTGTCTACGGGATCCCATGACACACAATCAGCCGTCTCACCTCGCACCTTTCTACGGGATCCAATGACACACAATCAGCCGTCTCACCTCGCACCTTTCTACGGGATCCCATGACACACAATCAGCCGTCTCACCTCGCACCTTTCTACGGGATCCAATGACATACAATCACCCGTCTCACCTAGCGCCTCTCTATGGGATCCCGTGACACACAATCAACCCTCTCGCCCTGTCTATGGGAACCCATGACACACAATCACACGTCTCACCTTGCACCTGTCTATGGGATCCCATGACACACAATTATCCGTCTCACCTAGCGCCTTTCTATGGGATCCCATGACCTGAAATCAACCCTCTCGCCCTGTCTATGGGATCCCATGACACACAATCACACGTCTCACCTTGCACCTGTCTATGGGATCCCATGACACACAATCACCCGTCTCACCTAGCACCTGTCTATGGGATCCCATGACACACAATCACCCGTCTCACCTAGCACCTGTCTATGGGATCCAATGACACATAGTCACCCGTCTCACCTAGCACCTGTCTATGGGATCCAATGACACATAATCACCCGTCTCACTTTGCACCTGTCTGCGGGATCCAATGACACATAATCACCCGTCTCACTTTGCACCTGTCTACGGGATCCAGTGACACACAATCACCCGTCTCACCTAGCATCTGTCTATGGGATCCAATGACACATAATCACCCGTCTCACTTTGCACCTGTCTACGGGATCCAGTGACACACAATCAGCCCTCTCACCTAGCACCTATCTAAGGGATCCCATGACACACAATCAGCCCTCTCACCTAGCACCTGTCTATGGGATCCCATGACACACAATCAGCCCTCTCAACTAGCACCTGTCTATGGGATCCCATGCCACACAATCAGCCATCTCACCTAGCACCTATCTATGGGATCTCATGACACACAATCAGCCCTCTCAACTAGCACCTGTCTATGGGATCCCATGCCACACAATCAGCCATCTCACCTAGCACATATCTATGGGATCTCATGACACACAATCAGCCCTCTCACCTAGCACCTGTCTATGGGATCCCATGACACACAATCAGCCCTCTCACCTAGCACCTGTCTAAGGGATCTCATGACACACAATCAGCCCTCTCACCTAGCACCTGTCTATGGGATCCCATGACACACAATCAGCCCTCTCACCTAGCACCTGTCTATGGGATCCCATGACACACAATCAGCCCTCTCACCTAGCACCTGTCTATGGGATCCAATGACACACAATCAGCCATCTCACCTAGCACCTGTCTATGGGATCTCATGCCACACAATCAGCCATCTCATCTAGCACCTGTCTATGGGATCTCATGCCACACAATCAGCCATCTCACCTAGCACCTGTCTATGGGATCTCATGACACACAATCAGCCATCTCATCTAGCACCTGTCTATGGGATCCCATGACACACAATCAGCCCTCTCAACTAGCACCTGTCTATGGGATCCCATGACACACAATCAGCCCTCTCACCTAGCACCTATCTATGGGATCCCATGACACACAATCAGCCCTCTCACCTAGCTCTTACCTAAGGGATCTCATGACACACAATCAGCCATCTCACCTGGCCCCTACTCCCTAGTCGGTTTTCATGACGCGGGAGGTAAAGGGACCCGTGGATTCCCAACGGGTACGCAACAAATATGAAGACAAATTTATACAATCACCTAATTTGTATAATGTCTTTCATGTAACACCACAGATAGACTCGTTAATAGATTTAACAAATCATTTTATTCTTAATGAAATATATTGTTCTATTAATAAATCATTTTATTATATATTTAGTAATGAAATACTTTGTTTACTTAAACACATAAGGTATAACCAAACACTAAGCCATTACTGGTTCGCCTCAATGATACACACATTCAGATAAGAACATGCATAACAAATAGAATGTTTACTTTTTTTGTCAAACAGGATGTGTTTATCATCTCACTACCTGAAAACGTTTTCACTTCTGGCCATAAAATATCGACTCCGAGATAAACACAAATAAGGGACGCCGTATATCAATTATTGATTTATTGACTCATTGAAAGTAGCTACAATGTGGGTTGCATCGTTTCGATGTAAAAGCCAAAGCAATCTAGGACAAGATATTGAAGCAATGTATACGATGTGGGATTATTATGAAACTAAAGACAAATATATAAACATTGACATACAAATAAAAGCGACAGAACCATTTGCATAATCACTATATTAACAATGCTATAATATAAGTATTGTTGTCAATGTCAATCTCACTCAGGGCCCTTTTTACTCTCAGATATACAATCTAGTTTAGACCCTGATGAAATAATCGACATCGACTGTAGTGAAGAACATTTATGGATGTCAACATCTTTATTATGAGGAACACAACGATACACATATTCAAAAAGGAAAATGCATAACAAATAGAATGTTTATTTTTCCTGTCAAACAGGATGTGTTTCTATTGACCTGAAAACGTTTTCACTTTTTCGTGGCCACAAAATACCGACTCAGATTAACATAAAGGGGCGGTCGGGTAGCCTAGTGGTTAAAGCGTTCGCTCGTCACGCCGAAGACCCGGGTTCGAATCCCGACATGGGTACATTGTTTGAAGCCCATTTCTGGTGTCCTCCGCCGTGATACTGCTGGAATATTGCTAAAAGCGGCGTAAAACCAAACTCACTCACTCAGATTAACATAAACAAGGAAGCCAAACATCAATTATTTACCTACTTACTGATTCAATTGTAACTGTAATACGTGTTTTATTGTATACTTTGTTACCGTCCAAGCCATGTAGGACTATACATTAGATCATTGATACATATACATAAACATTGACATATAAGTAAAAGCGACAAAAACATTTGCATTATCACTATATCAACCATGCTATAAGTATTGTTGTCAATGTACGTATGTGTGCAGACGTTTCATTCTATCTCGTTTAACTCCACGGTATAAAATATAGTTTAGAACTCGATGAAATCGGACATCAACTATAGTGATAAAAAATTAAAGTTAAATCATTTAAAACTCATGAATATTTGGTCCGCTAGAAACTTGACTGCGCTTGGAAGACTTACAATATTAAATTCCTTATCCTACCATAACCAAACCTCCTGTTTTCTTCTACACCTCATCCACCAGATCAAGTCACTTGATAAATGTTTTAACTTTGTTTTGAAAAATAACCCTGATAAAATAAGAAGGAAACAAATAATAGTGAAACAATCAAAGAATTAATCAGCTGAAAAGTTTTCAATAATAAGACAGGAATAAATCAAAACGATACCAAAGTAGAATTCGTTTAAATTCGTTTGATATAATGGAACTAAACTGTAATCATTTGAAACCAAATTAAGAAACACCTTTTATTGTGATTTTATTGTAGCTTGGTTTGACTTCACTGACGGTATTCTTCCAACACACAATGAGGACATTCTCGGTCACAAGATTTGGCCCAACCACCTCAGAATTGATAAGGAAAGTATAGAACGTGAAGGCGGTCCGGTTCATTAACCTTTAATAGATCAAAATTGCCATTTTCTGACCTTTTCCAAATTCAAAGAATGATGTCAATACCAAGTTTGTAAATTGTAAATTAGAATTAGAATCTATACCACAAGTTGTTTTGAGGGTGTAGAACTATTCGTCCAATTTGGACACACATGGAAAGTTGGCTTCTTGAAAAAACAGAATTGAAAAACGTTCTTAACATGGGGAAGATACCTCTTGGTCTCCCGGGAAGAAATAATGACCCTTTACATGTAATAGTTATATTTGCATAAAAGACTCATTTACAAAATAAACAGCAAAGACTGCCAATTATTCAACATAAACTGTCCGAACGCTACAATGTAACTAAATGTGCAGTTGCCATGACCAACAATACTGATCAATCCTACAAGTTCAGCAATGTCACGTGCCTTGCATGTGACAGTGAGAATGGTCTCTATGCAATAAAAATGTAAAGGAAAAAATCGCTATCACTCACTCATGGCTCACTCGGGGTAATTGTTTGATTGGTGTATTGCATATAGCGACGTTTCGATGTAGATTCTAACACCGTAGAGTCACTATCAGCTGCCTGGCCAAACCACTGGACCGCACGTGTCTTGCAAAAGAAGTTCTGAAAATGTACATGTACTTCAACACTGCCTATTCAGCTAATGTTTTATCACTTACTATGTACAGAAACATCTACTATTTCTATTCAGTGCTGAAATACGGGACTACTAATCGTGGTTATATATATCCCGCGGAGACGCGGAGATTGATCAACAACACCGGGTTTGAATAAATGCCTAGCATAAAATCACATCACATCGAAGACAATTGTTTTCTACAAAACATGTCCATGTATATCTATGATCTACAAGACAGCGATGAAATGAAGGTGTCTTTCAGAGGGTTGGCTTTGTTGTGTTTGTCCATGTAAAACACCCTCAATGACGACTTGGATGGTCCCCAGGAGCTGTCAGGTTTCAGGGACTTCTGGAATCTCTGTAACATGGCATAAGAGCAATCTGTGCACAAATTGAACTTACAAATTGATGACAAATATATATATTTGGGTTGTAAGAGAAATAACTCAACATTTTAAGGGAAATAACTCAACATATCTAAAATTTAGATCACAGCAAAACGCCGAATACAACCGAAATGTTTCATTCCTTTCATTCATCATGTATCAACAGCGGGGGATGACGTAGGCGTGTTGTGCAGTTATATGGCAAAACGTCTGAGACTTGCATCACTTCGGGCTTTCCTCCCACATTCAGTTGACACGCCGTGATATAACTGTTAAAAGCGGCGTTAAATCAAACTCACTCACTCACTCAGGTTACCTCTATTTATATGAAATGAGTCACGTATGACTAACCAAATAACTCCTGTAGCGTGTATTACCGTGTGAATGAATTTTGTCGCAAAGGGAGATTTCAAAAAAGTGTGGCCACGATATCTAAACATGGGTCGACGCCATATTGTCACGGTCGGTTTCACATATGGTCCCTCGGCCCCAGTTCCTGTCGATGATACACAAAACTAAAACTACTGAAACATCGGCAAAATGATGACAGCAATACTTTTTCGCATTTAAGTAAACCGCTCGTGTTGTTACGTTCGATTTCGATTTGTTTTTTTCTTTCATTGCACAACGCCAGGCGCGGTGTCTTATTTGTTATATGTTAATGTTTCATTAAGTCATTACATACTACTAGTTTTAATTTCATAATATGTTTGTTTTCTACTTTTATATAACATAAATATTTAAACTGAAATGTGCCATATTGTCATTCCTGATTCTGAATGTACCACATGCAAATTACAAGTTTTGGTATCTTCCGGGTTATACATGTGCGTTTTATGACAGTGTAGGTACTTGCATCAATAGGTAGGTATGCTACAACATTTCTTTGCACCGTGTTGATCCTCTGGATCAATGTTGTCTTGTTCAAACTGTGATAATGGCGCTATGATTAGTTTTCGGAAATTGTATTTTCCGTGTATTTAATGTACATGTAACATGCTGTGATTGTAGAAGATAATTAAAAACCAGTCATGTGTGTTACGATAATATATATATTGGAATATATCATCGCAACACGAAAGGGTTCGTACTTCAACATTCGGCAATGGCTATTATATCTTATTAATATTAGACTTACAAATTATTGAAGTAGACTGTACTCACTATCACGTCAAAAAGCTGATCTAATGTTGTGGTAGTATAATGGATACTAGGCCAAAAGAAATAGAGGAAATATATAATTAATGAAAACCATTGATAGAAAAGATTTTGCTTGTCTTATTTCGTAAGTTCATCATTAAAAATCTATTTTATATGCTGCTTTTCCTTTTATGAAAATAATTCCATTACTTTCATTAATCTTATATCATTTCAAACTTTTATAGAAACGGATGAAATGGGGAACTTTACTTGAAATAAACTGCCACGTATGTCCTTGAATGTACATACCAAGGTGGAGTTACAATTCTTAAGACGCATTTATTAAAATATGTGAAAGAATACGTGTTATTTCATTGACTGGGCATACAAGTTTATTTTGAACAAACGTCATCGAAACGTCGCTGTACATGTATATGCAATAAACCAAAAGTTGTTATCCATAAAGTTGAACGTTTTCGTTTTTAGAAAAGGTCTCAGTAAGGCAGCCAAGTGTGAGATAGAAGGTGAGACGAGAATGTATGTATAAGTGGCCATAGTGAAACCAATTTGTTCAGTTGTTTAGCACATGAACAGTATATAGATTGATCAATACTCTAATCGAAGTAATAACATTTTTCGTTATTGTCTCCCTTACTTAATCTAGATATTAATTATAATTGCACTGTTAAACAATAGTTTCTTCTTTCACCTGCGCAATTAAATATAGCCTACTCTACACTTATAGTGCTTTCAAATTTAAGTATCATCCAATAAAATCACGTTTCAAGCTTTAGTATAATCTTGTGAAATAAAAATGATGTCCGATATTCAGCGATGTCAATTTCAGTATAGTAAGGGCTGTTTGGTCATTCTTCACATTTTGTCATTTGAAAATGTCCGATGTCAACTACCCCGAAACTGTTTTTATTATTAAGTATAAACTAATCGCGATTACTTTATCAGTTTTGTTTTGACGTCAAAAACACTGACAATTTCACCGGGATTGCTTATCGGTAAATTAAACTCACGGGCAATTCTCAACGAATGTGTACTTTGACATGACAATGCCAGATGTATATCATCGTGAAGATATGTACTTTACAATGGTATAAATTATTGGACATCTAGAATTCAAAAAGGGCGCTTGCTTGATTTTACTTGCCACATTCGGGTGCTCAAATGTTACAATTAATGTAAAACAGTAGCAAACTAATACTGGCAATCGATGGCTAAGCAGTGCGTTTACCTTTAGATTTGCTGCATTTAGATACTGTTTGAACGACAATCAAGTCTTTTTGAATGTTAAACATTTTGCGTACACCTTGCGCAGCAATACGTAAGTTGTGACACTTTCATACAATGTATGCGTATTTGAAACCGAGACGTCATTCCAGTACGGCACTGAGCGGTATGCAAGCCATCTTACGGCCAGGCACCATGCGGGGTTAGGTCTATTTAATGCAGGATTGAAAAACATATGGTCAAGAGTTTGAAATAGTTTTCACACACAACAGAAGATTTCTGGATGACTGTTTCTCTATTTGGCCACTTTCGGACGAGTCTAGATACATTGAGGGCACTGTTAAATAACATGGAAAGAAATCTAACATTTACTCTACAAACGGATTCAGACAAAATCTCAATTCTTGACAGTGAGATTATCAAGCATGGTACTGGAGTGGATACTGACATATTCTACAAAGTCACAGACACTAATCAGTACCCCACGTTTCCCCCTGTCATCCCAGTCACATCACAACAAGTTTACCTCACAACTTATCACGAAGAATATGTACCAGTATGTCTCATGACGAAACACGTCATCACAGGCTGCTGGAGTCAAACATCTTCCCGAGGCAAGTGAGTTAACTGACTATAAAAGTTCAGTTTCCACCCTTGCCAAACTCGGCTGGTATTATGGAGTTACATTTTGGCTGGACTAACGAGTCTATGCATAGTCCAATCAAAATCGCGCACCGAAATCGAAATCCGGTTCGTAAAGTGTTATGCAGATTTCGGTCGACTGCAGGATTTGCAAAACATGTGCACCGCTAACTCGTTGTCAACAGATATTTTCTAAATCTGTTCATGCTTTTAATCAAGGTGCTCACGTGATTTGATGCACTTCGCGATGTAAGACTCGTTTTATCACAATATAGACCTTGATTATCAATCAGATCGTCTTGACTGGGCGCCACCGTTTCCGTTGAAGCAAATGCAAGTGATACGAGAGGTTGAATCTGATTGGTCAATAGGTGAGGCATAGAAAGGACATAACTCGTAATAGCCACTGGTGGCGCTACGATCGAGCCCAGGAATTCCAGCCTAGTTCGGCAAGAGTGGAAACTGGACTTTTAAAGTCAGTTAATTCTCTTGCCTCGGGAAGATGGAGTCAAAGGGCTACTTAAAGATGACATCCGATAGCACTCATTGGAATATCAAAAACACTAAGTCTCGACAGAAAGGTATTATCAGCAAGCAAGCACAAAGACTGATCAAACAATAAATCAATAGACTTTGTATCTACCAATAACCCACGGACAAATATGTTCAACAAAATCCATGCAAATGTCAACAATATAGAGCAGAACAAAAGAATGAAAACACATTGAAATTTGTTAACACAGTTAACAGGATACGTCGAAGTCCGAATCGCAAGAACATCTTAACCAAAGCCCGCTTTGATGCAAGTGCTCCAAAAGAGTGGAGTGGGGTTACAAAGTGGAACAGAGGCAACTGTGGGGCCAGTCAGCGCATGATGGAGGGCAACACAGTAACAGAATATTATTAAACGGTGATTTAAAGTGTTCTACCAGACATGTCATGTATGTTATTAACTGCATGGGGTGCAAAGAACAATATATTGGACAAATATTTGCGAGCTCGAATCCATGTGCACAAGAAGCAAAGAAAATACTCAGACATTGCATACCTTTAAGTGCACATCTCGACACATTGTCATGTGCACGGGAAAAGGAAATCAAATCTACTATAACTCCCTCTTATAAAATGTCTACAACGTACAAACTAAAAAGAACCCTAAAAGAACAATATTTTATTAATAAATTCTATCGTGCTTTAAATAGAATTAAATATTGCAACAAAAGTGCAGTTTCGGTGCCAAGAAAACTGCACATTCTACCATGACTACGTGAAATACTCGAATTTGATTGGACAATCACCAAACTCAGACATTGTCAATTTGGATTGACAAAAATGCTACTGATTTTATGACCGCTTCGCTGCGCACTTATACAAATCATGTGTCGTCGTTGGGATAGAGTTTATCATAAGAACCAATTCTTAATCCACCAACAGACATCCAGGGGGTTTGCAAAATAAGAGTTAGGCAAAACCCCGAATTTATGCCACTGATACTCCCTCGTGCCCCGTTGCATCGTTCAAAAATACATGTCAAACTTGAACCACCTGAATCCTGCTTTCTACCAGCTTCCCTCAAAACCGCCACTGCTGGTGATCCATACTGGTACTCTCTTAAAACCACCTGGCCACATTCCTCTGTCCAAAATCATGAAAACCATTTCCAAGGAATCCAAAGTTAGTCGCATTTGCGTTAGAACAACCAATGCAACTCTTTTGTCGCATAGAGAGGCACGTGAAATCATCAAACTCACTGGTCATTAAAATCAACAGCCCTCGATGAGTCACAACACTGACTCGTCGGCCGATCAGAAAATATTACTATTCTTCGATTCTGCAGGGTTCAGATTCGACAGACAGTCAAGTATCCTCCACTGTCACTACAAATTTCAATCTTGCACAAAAATGTACAATCTGGCATGCGCACGTCCGCCTCTTTCCAAATTTCATTAGTCGGTCAGGCCATTTCATGTAGTGTTGGCAGAGGGTACAGTACTACGGCACACCAAACAGTAAGCTGGTTTCTGTCGTGTTTGGAGGGTTTATATAACCAAGCTGTTACTTATTTACAACGTAACAAAATGTTGCATTAAACAAAAAGTTGTTGGTATTCGTTTGACGATTATTTTTTTCACGTTACAATGTAAAAAAAAACAACGAAAGACTCCTACCACCCCTTTCACGGACTAGTTCAATTCGCCACACGTGCCATGCCGGATTACATACTGTCGTCCGCGGAACGAATGGAGATAAACCTACTGTGTTTAAAAATAACATTAATGTTAGACCGAATAGTTTGGACCGATTTAATTAATCATTTTAAACCGAACGCGTATCAATTCGGTCTAACGTTAATCTAATTTCCAAACACAACGTTTATTTCCTAAATACACCTGCGTCTCCACCCGACCACTCCCTATTGATGACGTCATAATGTAACTGTGGCATGATGTCACAATGGCCTGGTACATGACGTAATAAACAATGTAACTGCAATCGCCTTCATGATACGAATTAAACATTTCGGGGGAAGAATTCGGCGTTATGTTTTGTTTTGAATTTTTAATATTTTGGACTGTACACTCGAGCTACAAGTACTTTTATTTACTTGTACGATAAACAACGACCAGGAGTTATATCTTGTATGAGATATCAAAATTATTATCTCTTCAAGGGTGTTGATAAAATTTGCAAGCTTTAAAAATAGTTACCTTTGGTTCAATAATGATGACTCCCTGAATAAATTCCGACCTCGACAATGTTGGACAAGTCCATTGTACGAACAGGTGGGTTAAGTTTGGTATTTCCCTCATATTCTCACAATAATCACGACGATCATCTGTACCTTTTCTCCTAATACCGATTGTCATATATCTCCCACATTTGGATGCGATCGTTCGGCCACTGCGTTCACCTGCGTACCCCAGCGAAATCTATGGGAAACAACTAACTGGACACTTCCCTCTCAAAAATAAAGTCGTCTAGTACATGACGTCATCAAGTTGCGAGCGCACATTCGAATCTCCAGAAATGAGGTCATGATAGAACAATGTTTTATCGCGAAACATAAGATAGCTACGTGGTAAATTGCAAAGAACAATGAAGAACGAAGCGTGGTTTATTTCAAGATGAAACGTTTATCTATCATGACGTCAATTCTGGAGATTCGAACATACGCTCGCAACTTGATGACGTCGTAAATTGGACGAAGATATTTTTGCGAGGGAAGCGTATAGTGAGTTGTTCCCCATAGATGTAGCTGGGAAACGCAGATAAACAATGGCCGAACGATCGCATTCAAACGTTGGAGAGATATGATAATTGGTATTTGGAGCAAAGGTACAGATATTCGACGTGAAAATTGTGAGAATCTCGGAATAATACGAACGTAAGTCCTTTGTTCATAAAATGCCCCACATTGCTGAGGTTGGGTTGTATTCAGGGAGTCATCGTTATTTAAACAAGGTTAAAAAGAATTAAATTACATTGTATTAAGATCCGACAAAATGTTGATGTCTCATAAAATGTCTCAAAAAAGAAATAAACGCCCCGCCTCATGTTATCGCGTATATATGTGTATTTGGGCCGAAACTTCTCACTCCTACCCGCTCACCGATGTCGAGAATAGGGCCGGATTAACACTCTGGATGCCGAGAATAGGGCCGGATTAACACTCAGTCCACGTATCATGACAAACTGAGGCACGTCATCGTAAACAACCCAACTTCCACGGAGAGAGGTTCTTCCTCAATATACATATAAGTTAATTACTAAAGAACATATGCATGACCTGGCCTTCGCCTCTTCACTGACATCTTGACAGACAAACAAAGTAAGTTCAAATCAAGCTTTTCGTAGATTGCCATAACTCACTATCATTACGACATCACATTGTTTTACTCAATATAATATGTTCTTGAATGATGTAACTGGTTTATATTATGTAAATTCAGTGCGATTCCATACCTGCACCAGATTCCCCTCCTCCTTGCTGATGGCGTGGAACATCATCACCACGAATGGGATGCCGGGGATGGAGGCCAAGCACCATCCAATGGTAACAGCGTAGTCGGGGTAAACATACCTCCCATAGGTCGGAGGCTGGTACTGGACCATGGTGAAAATGAAGGTTATCTGGAACGCCAAATCAAAAAAAGGCTATTTCACTAATAAGTTCATCGACGTGGACAGAAATGAAAGGATTGTTGTTTATAAGACACGGGACAGCAGAAAACCAATTACAATTTGATATCTTATGACAAAAGAAAGCTTGCTGTTACAATGTAAATATCAAATATATACCTGTATACCTTTGCGGATTCGGCACTCGTCTCGAAAGGGTTTGGATATTGCAGCTATTTTGAACAAGAATGAATTATGATTGTACTTACTGACACAGAGAGAGAGAGAGAGAGAGGGAGGGAGAGAGAGAGAGAGAGAGAGAGAGAGAGAGAGAGAGAGAGAGAGAGGGAGAGAGAGAGAGTTGCTTTGGCTTACGACCCTACCAGGAGCATGGTAGGTGTGATGTAGCACCAGCTTATCTTGAAGAAGAAGGGTACCGGTCTCCCGAGCATCAGTTCTATGTCTGCACTGACACGATTCACTCCTGAAATCAGGAAATAAAGAAACACATCTGGATAAAAAGAGATTATTAAATAGTTTGCAAAAAAGTGGATGGGGGATGACTGATTCTTAACACCACTTTATCAAGTTTCATCCCTTTGCCTGTCTCGATTCCTATTATCACTTTGCCAGTCTCGATTCCTATTATCACTTTGCCAGTCTTAAATCCTATTATCACTTTGCCAGTCTTAAATCCTATTATCACTTTGCCAGTCTTAAATCCTATTATCACTTTGCCAGTCTCGATTTCTATTATCACTTTGCCAGTCTCAAATCCTATTATCACTTTGCCAGTCTTAAATCCTATTATCACTTTGCCAGTCTTAAATCCTATTATCACTTTGCCAGTCTCGATTCCTATTATCACTTTGACAGTCTCGATTCCTATTATCACTTTGCCAGTCTTTAATCCTATTATCACTTTGCCAGTCTTAAATCCTATTATCACTTTGCCAGTCTCGATTTCTATTATCACTTTGCCAGTCTCAAATCCTATTATCACTTTGCCAGTCTTAAATCCTATTATCACTTTGCCAGTCTCGATTTCTATTATCACTTTGACAGTCTCGATTCCTATTATCACTTTGCCAGTCTTAAATCCTATTATCACTTTGCTAGTCTCAAATCCTATTATCACTTTGCCAGTCTCGATTCCTATTATCACTTTGACAGTCTCGATTCCTATTATCACTTTGCCAGTCTTAAATCCTATTATCACTTTGCCAGTCTTAAATCCTATTATCACTTTGCCAGTCTCGATTTCTATTATCACTTTGCCAGTCTCAAATCCTATTATCACTTTGCCAGTCTTAAATCCTATTATCACTTTGCCAGTCTTAAATCCTATTATCACTTTGCCAGTCTCGATTTCTATTATCACTTTGACAGTCTCGATTCCTATTATCACTTTGCCAGTCTTAAATCCTATTATCACTTTGCTAGTCTCAAATCCTATTATCACTTTGCCAGTCTCGATTCCTATTATCACTTTGACAGTCTCGATTCCTATTATCACTTTGCCAGTCTTAAATCCTATTATCACTTTGCCAGTCTTAAATCCTATTATCACTTTGCCAGTCTCGATTTCTATTATCACTTTGACAGTCTCGATTCCTATTATCACTTTGCCAGTCTCGATTTCTATTATCACTTTGCCAGTCTCAAATCCTATTATCACTTTGCCAGTCTTAAATCCTATTATCACTTTGCCAGTCTTAAATCCTATTATCACTTTGCCAGTCTCGATTCCTATTATCACTTTGACAGTCTCGATTCCTATTATCACTTTGCCAGTCTTAAATCCTATTATCACTTTGCCAGTCTCGATTTCTATTATCACTTTGCCAGTCTCAAATCCTATTATCACTTTGCTAGTTTTAAATCCTATTATCACTTTGCTAGTCTCAAATCCTATTATCACTTTGCTAGTCTTAAATCCTATTATCACTTTGCCAGTCTCGATTCCTAATATCACTTTGCCAGTCTCGATTCCTATTATCACTTTGCCAGTCTGGATTCCTATTATCACTTTGCCAGTCTCGATTTCCATTATCACTTTGCCAGTCTCAAATCCTATGATCACTTTGCTAGTCTTAAATCCTATTATCACTTTGCCAGTCTCGATTCCTAATATCACTTTGCCAGTCTCGATTCTTATTATCACTTTGCCAGTCTCGATTCCTATCATCACTTTGCCAGTCTGGAATACTATAACCATGTCCGACCGAGTTGTTGATCACCTGCTTCATGAACGGAGCAGCGTCCAAACCCAAATGTCGAATTGAAAGTAAATTGAAGTCAGCTGTGTTTTAAGTAAACATTTTGACGACTTTGAGTTAACTTGATCAGTAAATAATCATGGTGCTTAATATAACAGTCGGTCAAATGACACGAAACAGTCAAATGTTTTCTCATGAAGCCTTATTGACATACAATGAAGTGATCTGGTGTCTCTCATCCGCTATCACTCATAAGCCAGCACATACCACATAGCTCGGTGTTTCAGATTAATGTTTATTTTTATTATGGAAGGAGTTTTGTAGAGTTTATTTACAACCTGGTTCCCGCAAAGACGAGGCAACAATTTCATACATTACGACGTCCACCAAGACGGGATAGCCACCTGTTCTATTGGTTGGTATTCGCTGTCTCAGTCATCATCAACATGATAATATCAATATTACTTCACGTACCATATACCCATCCGAAAATGATGCACTCCAGAAATCCGTAGAAGATCAGGAATATGACGACAAAGTACCAGTCGACCAATTGGAAAATATACATTCCACCCTGAAATGATAGGGACCATGTTAAAAAGACAGAGCCTCAGTTAAGCTTTCAAAATGTTTTATGGAAGGCATGAGGAGGACATTTCGAAATTTTCGTATCAGTCACAAAAAGTAATTCCCTATTTGGACTTCTACCATATGTTCTCGGGTTATTTCCAGGTGGTGTCATCACTATTTGATAGTGATTCAAAAACACATGCTCGTGATATAGTCGGAATCGTACAGTCGACTCTGCTTTTGGTGAGGTGAAATGGGGTTTAACGTCGCGTCCAAGATTATTGCACTTACATAGCGACGTGCATGTACGTGTGTGTGTTTGTGTGGCTGCTTGTACTAGTCCGGACTGATGCCGATTTATAGTGCTAGCTCACTGAGATACCATGCCGCAGTTTAACATCAATACCCACTCAGACTCAGTATTCTGACTCCGAGCCGACCAGTCCTTGTTTCAGCCCCTTAATGCCGAGCGCCAGACAGGGTAACAACAAGTACCATCTTTTAACGTCTTTAGGTATGAGGCGACCGGGGATCGAACCCCGGACCTTCCGCTCTCTGGGCGGACGCTCTACCACTAGACCACGGAGGCGGTCCTGTGCTTTTTTGAAGACATGTATTATGGATATGGAAAGGTTGTGTCGATTTTATTTACAAGATGTATTTATTCACTGAAACGACATTGTCCTCTTTGCTTTATGGTTTATTTGTTTGTTTGTTGTTTAACGCCCCACTCAGCAATATCCAAGCTCCAGTGATCCAGTGATTGATATTGTGAGCAACGATCCACGCCGTCGGAGTGTGAGGACAGGCTATCAACTATGTTATCACAAACTTACCGCGGGATTCACTTGGTTACACCTTACGTCCAGCATTGGTTTGGGATTATTTCTAACCCGGCACCCCAACAAGGGCCTAATAACCGTTATTATAAGTACACATGATACAACATAATTATATAAACGCTGAATGTGCTAACCTCAGTGGTGAATATTAGCCCCAGCAGAAAGGACACAAGGCAGTATCCAAGAGTAACAGGGACTCGCCATTTCAGCAGAGAGGGGTTCTCATCCAATATGGCCGACGTCACCGTTTCAACTAATGAAAACTAACAAACCACAGAAAGACATATTGGAAAGAATTCAGTTCAAAGTTATTACTAACACTGACATATTAATGTACTTTTATATTATGATAAATAACTGGTCAATCAGAGTTTTTAAATCACAATAATTACCTCTCTTTGTAACAGCTGATTTGATCCTCGCGAAAGCTAATTTAGATGAGAGTATTATTTTTCAATCATTGAGGAGGTCATTACAACTTCAGGTAACTAGCTCTACACTGATAACGTGGACTGTTTACCTTCTTATTTGTCTCCAACTTCTGAATACATACTTGAATTGTTATGTTTATGTATATGTCAATGACTTGTGTGATCATTTATCCCAAAACAATAATAAACACTGGAATAGAATCTGTTATTTAAGCGTTACTGAAAAAAGGGTTTCTCACCAACGAATCAAGGGCCAACAGAATCAGCATAATAAAGAAGACGAAACTCCACAGCTGCGGAAGCGGAAGTTGCGACAAGGCTTCTGGGTATATCACAAAGCCAAGTCCTGGCCCTGGAACAGAAAAAACGGAGAATGATTACATTTAATGAACTCGAAATTCACAATCAACTTTCTGTCAGTAAGTTTATGCTGAAAAATAACAATATATTATGGCACGTGTAGGGGTTTGATCTATCGTGACAGCATTGTTCATGCAGGCAAAGGCCACCTAGCCGGAATCCCAGAATCTTAGACTCGTATCGATAAGGATCAGGGAAGTGTGCGCATCCATGCTCGGGGATTTCACCAAGGTGGTCAACTGATTTGCTTCACGTTGTGCTTTCCGCTATGATGAAACAAACACACCGTTAAGAATAATGTTAAAACAACCCTCTTTTACTCAGGATAAATAGTGATACCTTTTATCAACTTATACGTTTAATAATATATTACCAAACTATTTGCTTATTATTTCAAGGGGTCGCTCGTCACGCCGAAGACCCGGGTTCGATTCCCGACATGGCTACAATTTGTGAAGCCCATTTCTGGTGTCCCCCGCCGTGATATTGCTGGAATATTGCTAAAAGCGGCGTAAAACCAAACTCACTCACTCACTCATTATTTCAATGTGAAGTGAATTACCACATACCTGAGGACACCACATCACTGATGGGGATGTTAGCCTCATGAGCCATGAATCCAAGTATTGAGAAGATGACCAGGCCTGCGAAGAGGCTTGTTCCCTCGCTGACGAATGTACAGATGATGGCATTCCTACAGAGGAACACACAATATTCCAAATTATACTGAGAAAAGTAATGATAATTTGTGCAAGTCAGTATAAGATGACGACATTCCAAGCTAAACTGAGGGGCAAAAGAAAGTATACCGAGTTTGTTTTTATGTGATTGACAATTTAAGGGTCTGTTGTTAAATGTGATTATGTCCATTGAATCATCACTCTTTCCCGCAACAGTTTTAAAAAAAAAAATCTTTGACTGGGTAATTGTGTGTAAGAAAACATTGGTTCAAGGAAGACTGGGGTAAAAAGTGAATTTGCAACCACATGACCCCTACCATCTTTGAAATGTTGTAAAGTTGTGCCGAAAATAGTAATTTTATTAATTTGCCATATCTCACATATCAATCAGCAGTTGAGTTTTATGCGAATTATTCTTTTAATTCAAATTCTATTTTGTTTTTAATATATCATGCACACGTATAATTTGAATGCTGACTCAGGACAGTTTATGTTTTTAAAAAAATAATAAAGATATTTTCATTTGTAAATTACAAATATGATAAAATCAACTGAGAGGTATAGTTTCTTTTATTCCTCAGTACATGTTGTATTAATACAATAGCCATTAATGCTATGGCGTTTTTCAAAGCGTACACATTTTTTAAAATACATGTAAAAATGTACATAAACTGGAATATATAGGTATCTCTATCAAATCCTGTGACGAACATGACGGGTAAAACCATCATGCCCCACAGGTGTTGGCACAGTTGATGGACGGTTCTTGTAAACACTGCAACTGGTGGTGGTAAACATGTGCAATATTTCTACAATTCACTAGTGAAAGCCAAAATCAAAACTACCAGGTAGCAGCTTGGTGCGAACATATCCAGTCACATTAATAATAATATTTATATCATTTTATGTCGATCGAAAATGTCCAAAATATGATTTTGAAAACCCATGAAGACAAAGGGTAATACTTACATACACTGGAGCTGGGGATAAGGTATTGATGCCTTTTGTAAAATAAACAACTATGTTACAAATGGCATGGTAGCCCTTATGCTCAACTCACGCTTAAAACATCAATAGGCATACTACATGGACAAGGATAGGTTGTAAGTTAAGGCTGGTGTGGCGATCATGTCATGTTACCTCGGCTTGACATGGAGAGCCAGGAATCAGCTGGACGCTTTACACACAAACGGCCGCTTTGCTTGTAGAAACATATTTAAAATTCATGAAGCATTAAGAAAAAGCAAACAATTGTATTATCATATACAACTCAAAAGAAGTTAAAGAACACCCGATGTTTTCATATGACTGTAGTTAATCTGTCACGGCCAGACAGATAAAGTAAAGCCTTTTGAAAAAAACGGATGTTCTGCATCTACCTTTGGATGGTATATATAGTAAGGATGTAACGATGAACAATACGCTATACCTACTTGTGAGTGGAATATATAGTAAGGTTGTAACGATGTTCAATACGCTTTACCTACTTGTGAGTAGAATATATAGTAAGGATGTAATGATGTACAATACGCTATACCTACTTGTGAGTGGAATATATAGTAGGGTTGTAACGATGTACAATACGCTATACCTACTTGTGAGTGGAATATATAGTAAGGTTGTAACGATGTTCAATACGCTTTACCTACTTGTGAGTGGAATATATAGTAAGGATGTAATGATGTACAATACGCCCTACCTACTTGTGAGTGGAATATATAGTAGGGTTGTAACGATGTGCAATACGCTATACCTACTTGTCAGTGGAATATATAGTAAGGATGTAACGATGTACAATACGCTATACCTACTTGTGAGTGGAATATATAGTAAGGATGTAACGATGTACAATACGCTATACCTACTTGTGAGTGGAATATATAGTAAGGATGTAACAATGTACAATGCGCTTTACCTACTTGTGGATGGTATATATAGAAAGGATGTAACGATGTACAATATGCTATACCTACTTGTGAGTGGAATATATAGTAAGGATGTAACAATGTACAATATGCTATACCTACTTGTGAGTGGAATATATAGTAAGGATGTAACGATGTACAATACGCTATACCTACTTGTGAGTGGAATATATAGTAAGGATGTAACAATGTACAATGCGCTTTACCTACTTGTGAGTGGAATATATAGAAAGGATGTAACGATGTACAATATGCTATACCTACTTGTGAGTGGAATATATAGTAAGGATGTAGCGATGAACAATATGCTATACCTACTTGTAAGTGGAATATATAGTAAGGATGTAACAATGTACAATGCGCTTTACCTACTTGTGGATGGTATATATAGAAAGGATGTAACGATGTACAATATGCTATACCTACTTGTGAGTGGAATATATAGTAAGGATGTAACAATGTACAATGCGCTTTACCTACTTGTGGATGGTAAATATAGAAAGGATGTAACGATGTACAATATGCTATACCTACTTGTGAGTGGAATATATAGTAAGGATGTAACAATGTACAATGCGCTTTACCTACTTGTGGATGGTATATATAGAAAGGATGTAACGATGTACAATATGCTATACCTACTTGTGAGTGGAATATATAGTAAGGATGTAGCGATGTACAATACGCTTTACCTACTTGTAAGTGGAATATATAGTAAGGATGTAACGATGTACAATACTCTCTACCTACTTGTGAGTGGAATATATAGTAAGGATGTAACGATGTACAATACGCTATACCTACTTGTGAGCGGAATATATAGTAAGGATGTAACGATGTACAATACGCTATACCTACTTTTGGATGGTATATATAGTAAGGATGTAATTATGTACAATACGCTTTACCTACTTGTGAGTGGAATATATAGTAAGGATGTAACGATGTACAATACGCTTTACCTACTTGTGAGTGGATTATATAGTAAGGATGTAACGATGTACAATACGCTATACCTACTTGTGAGTGGAATATATAGTAAGGATGTAACGATGTTAAATACGCTTTACCTACTTGTGAGTGGAATATATAGTAAGGATGTAATTATGTACAATACGCTTTACCTACTTGTGAGTGGAATATATAGTAAGGATGTAATGATGTACAATACGCTTTACCTTCTTGTGAGTGACTACAGAAAATGACTACATGTGTGAAGAGATGTGTGGCAATAATGAATTGGCGTCACAGTAGGCTATACTGATAACTCCCAGTGGTCGTTTGTCCAGAGTAGAAACTCTATGATATGCCGAGCTGCTGTTTCTCGTGAGAAAACGTTCAGCATTATGCAGATGCCTCTGACAAGCGTTTGACTACGTTGATCGTTATAAACTATGGCGGTGTTTACGAACTACTGGTCCACATGGGAAAACGTATTCGATATTAAAAGCTATGTATTCACATATCAAATCATTTGCACGATGTGGTTACGATGGTTAGGATGTATCTTGAGCCCGATATTGTTCTCATTATTTATTAGTGAATTGTATTATGAACTCATGGCTACCAGTTAGCATGTTATTCAAATGTTCACAGATGTACTAGAAACTTTGATGTTCCTATTTGCCGATGATGTAATATGAGTATGAGATTCTCTTGTTGGACTACAAACACATCTCAACATTTTAGAATGTTACACCAATGAATTGCAGTTATGAGCTAACTACGATAAAATAAATATCGTGTTTTCGAAAGTATATGTGTGTATGTTCTGAATCATTATACATGTCTTGGTGTATTGTTTACCAATACAATGTATTTGAAGAAAGGTGTTTCAGATTTAACATCACGTGCAAAGAAGGCCTTAGTTAATGTTATGTCTGTCTCGCAGAAAGTTGGGGCTTTTACGCCGAATATATTTTTTTTTACATATTTGATGCCCAAACCTTGTTTTATAGATCATAAGTATGGGGATTTCAGGGATACCATTGTCTCGAAAAGCTAAATGTTTAGGCCTGAAAAAAATCGGTCGGCCCATCAACACCAAATTGTATGTTCTATGGCGAGTGTGACAGATACCCGTTATACATCAACTCCCAAATTAGATTTTTTAAATACTGGTTAAATGTACTTGAAAAGCATGGATGCCGAATCCCCAAATTTGCTTATAATATGTTTGTGCATTTTGATGACTTGGGCAAAGTAACATGGGCATCACACATTAGAAACATTTCGTTTTCTCATGGCAACGGCTTTGTATGAATAAACCAAACAGTTGGTGATGTTAAACTCTTTTTGAAACAATTTCATGAATCTATACTGAGTCGCAAAAGAAACGTCACCATGTATAGATTATATGAGAAACCTTAGTTGTCCAAACACTGTAAACATACTTTGAGACATATTAAAAAGATGAAACTAGGCAAAACTGATCTTCAAGGTTGAAATTAAAGTCTCAAATGTTCTTAAAGTGAAACACAACTGTAGTCTCTGAGAAAATGGCATCACAAGTCAGTATCTCGTGGGTCTGACATGTGCATTGATGACTGCCGTGTGACGTCGATACATGGAATGGATGAGGCGGTTGATGAAGACCATAGGCACTTGAGGCCACACTCTTAGGAACACCTGACGCAGTTCAGCTGCAGTTGTCGGCCTGGGTCGGACGCCATTCAGCCGTCTTTGACTCTCGTCCTACAGGTGCTCAATGGGATTAAAATCGGCACCGAGGGCAGGCCACTGCATGGTTCTGATGCCATTCTGAGGAAGTCTGTTGTTGCTCTCGCACGGGCTTTATCATGCTGAAACTCGTGGTTGCGGTCTCAAGACTTGATCGATGTACCGAGCTGCTGTGACACCATTGCCTCTCCTTTGACCGATGTTCTGGAAGACCACATAGCCGACACTCTGTGCAAGGCCAATTCGACCCCTCAC